GAGGAGTTACAGGGTCATTATACAGGGACCAGATGCAGTATGAAAGCGCATATATAGTAGGTGCCTGCTAATTGTTGTTAGTATGGTTTAAAACAAATGTTTAACCCTCCACACTTAAAGTGTATGTAAATCCTAACAATGAACTTCTCTTACTTGTTTCCTTTTGGACTGTTAAATATACCGTACCATGAAAAGTATTTTGTTATAACTGTAAAGTAAGTGCAAAGAAATACCTGTTAATGCTGCCAGAAATCTAGAGTATCTAACTTCCTGTGCCCACCTTTTTCTGTGAACTACAGAACTCTTCCCCCGGTGTTATGGAGATGAAGAGAGGGAGTTCTGTCATCCCAACACAGTTCCTGTTCTAGGTTGACAATGGTGCTCCTCCATATATACAGTAAAGTAAGTCAATGTCGTCACACTAGGACAGGAATTGTGTTCCTGGCATGGTCACCAGGTAAAAATAAAGGGGAAAAAAGAAAACCAGAAAACCAGAAAACCAAATGCAGCCACCAGACCTGGTATTCTGCACTGCATTACATTTTTGTTCTTTGGTTAAGACACGCTTTAACTTTTTGACCCCTGCTTTTAAAAAGGCTAGTTACCTAGCTATTCTGTTGACTGAAATACTTTAATACTTTCTAAGTCAGAACACATATGCAGATCAGAAATTTTGCTTCAATGTATTGAGTCCAGACAAAGTTAACCCCTTTGGCGTGCGCAGCCTATTGCATTAGGATGTGCACACAAAAGTACAAACACACACAGTATACACATAAATATATATATATTTATTTTTTTATATATATTAATTAGGGATGCACCGATACTAGTATCGTTATCGGTGCTGATGCTGAGTATTTGGGTGAGTACTCGCCCAAATGCTCCAATGCCTAGCCCGATACTTCAGCTTCCGGTAATAGGAAGCCAGGCGGTGAGTCATTATACGCTGCCGGGCAGCCGGTTCCATGCTTTAGAACAGGATCAAAGGAAGATCAGATCAAAGAACAGTGTAATGAGGGTCGGAATGCCTTCTATGGTACAAAAATATAAATTTTATTTGATGCAAATAAAAATATGGGTCATCAAAGACACACCGACTGGCCGCCACCAAAAACCCTATTAAAAGTGGTTAAATCAACCAACACACTCATTCCAAAAAACATGCACACATGGACAAGCTGATCAGCATAAATATTTTGACCGGTAAAGCTCAGATTTACAGTGCAGGGGTAGCCCCACTGCAAGGGTTAAGAAAACGTTTTCCTGGAGTTCTTCTTTAAAGTGTACAAGAATGTGTTGTTAAAATAGGCAAATAGACTCAATTTACAAATCTAACACACCAGAATAATGGTTCTAATTTTCAAAAGTGTGACAGAAGTGACAGTTTTTTCATTTCATTACAATGAGTTTTGAAAAATTAGTCACATGGCTGAAAATAAAGATCCTAATCAATGTATTAAAGCTTAATGAATTGAGCTTAGTGAGATCCTAACTATTTTCTGCGTCAGGATGAAGCTAATACCCTACTGGTCTTATTTTCGGGGTAGGTCTTACTTTCGGGGAAACACGGTATATACAACAATTACAGCACTATTATTTATGTGATAGCATTCACAGCCATTATATATTTCATAGTGTTCTTTTTATCATTTTATGTACTTGCAGCTAATGACATGTGCAGTGTCGTGGACCATGGATGTGAATTTAAATGTGTCAGCACTCCAGGATCATACCACTGCATTTGCCCAGGGGGCCAAGAACTTCAAGCAGATGGAAAAACCTGCAACAGTGAGTATCTAAAAAAATAGCTCTAGTAGGAGGATCTTCAAGTGAAAGTGCCAAGGTTTTTAATGCAATTAAATAAATCTAGATACCTGCACTACTCAGTGAATAAGAAGAGGGGTTCCATTATGTCTCATACAACGACCTTCAATTGCTCTGTTCTGCCTCTGTGCTTCAAATTTCAATAAAATGTCCCATAATTGATATAAAGTGCCAGGCTAAATGGTTAATGCAGCCAATCAGTACCTCTGGCTCACATAAATCCCACTGTCCATAACTAGAAAATAGCAGGCCATAGGCACACAGAGTGATTTTAATCCAAGTAATGGCTATTTATGGGGTCTAAATGTTGATTTTGCAAAGTTTGTAGCAAGGGAACCCACATTTACTATGGGCAATGGGTGTGGCTTAGCTAAGTACATGACTAACAATAAAAAATAAATATGCTCCCCGAACAGCCTGTCAGCTTACAGTCAAACATGCTCACCTCAGGCCCAGCAAAGCAATTGGATTTCCATAAAAACATGCTTACTGAAAACCTCTACTTCGACTCTGCGCATTGAAGAACTCTACTTCAACTCTGCACATGCACACTCAACCTGTAGTCTTAAAGTCTGTAGAGGACTCCAGTCCCTCTCATCAATGTGGAGGTTGATGGGAATCAATCAGAGCCTATGGGGTTGCTGCATGCATGCATGCAGTTAAAGAGGAGGTCTCCAGTGCCCATGTTTCTATGGAAACCGAACTGCTGAGCTGATGATGATATTAAGCAGCTTATATCTATCCTTAAAGGTTAACCTATGTTATGTGTTCATTTTAATGGAAATAGTCCTTGTTAGAGCATGCTATGCTGACTAGAAAGCTTGTTTTTATTACAGTTTTACTTCTGTATGTATTCTCATTGAAAATATGCTATATATTCTTTCTTTTACAGAATGCTCCACTGGTTACATTGATTTGGTGTTCGTAATCGATGGCTCCAAAAGTGTCAGACCTCAGAACTTTGAGCTGGTGAAACAGTTTGTTATAAAAATTGTGGACTCCTTGGATGTGTCAGTCCATGGCACACATGTTGGCCTGGTGCAGTATTCTAGTCGAGTGCGCACCGAGTTTTCCTTGAACCAGTTTAAAACATCAAAGGATATTAGTAATGCAGTGAGGAACATTGAGTACATGGAGAAAGGCACCATGACTGGATTGGCATTGAAGTATATGGTGGAGCACAGCTTCTCTCAACAGGAGGGAGCTAGGCCCAATGTGCCCAAAATTGGTTTGGTGTTTACCGATGGCCGTTCACAGGATGATATTTCAGAGTGGGCTAAAAGAGCCAAGGATGCTGGTAAGAAAAACACTAAACATTCAGTAAATCTACAAATAAACCTTGCAAAATGTCTTCTGACAGATTCATAACATTGACCAAATTCAGATAGACTAAAGAAAGCACCAAATAAGTCTGCACATTGGTACAGTACATGGAATTCGATGTAGACCACAATATGTACACTTTGATTTAAAATTATAAAGAAATATGGGTTGTTAGAGGATACTATAACACTTAAGGGGTTATTCACTAAGCTGCCAAAGGAGTCGAATGAATAAGCGAACTGAAGTGAAGGGAGTCGAAGCCTCTTTGGCTATTCACAGCAGCCATGTAAGGCTATTTTAGCTGTACATTGGCTCCGTATGGCTCAATTCACCTCCCTTTGGTTCGGCCGAACAGCATCAGCCGAAGAATCTGTTCGCCTCAGCCGATGCAACATGTGGTTCGCTACTGTTCACCCCTATTTTCAAAGGGGCCGAACAGCAGAGAGTGAAAAGCCAAATGCAGCCGAGCAGCATTTGGCTCAGTCATTCTGGTCGGTACCTCAGAGAAAAACAAATGGGCAGCGTGAGTCCCATGAGGTCAGAGGACTTGCACCTCCCATTTGTTTACCTGTCATTTGAGTACAGTGAGCTGTCTTGGCATTAAAACAAATGGACGGAGTGAGTCATGATGTCATGACTCACGCGGCTCATTTGTTTACATTCGGACCGGATCTGTCATTTGCGGCGGGAGTTTGGTGAGTCGTTGTGCATCGTTTATCGTCATTGATGGTGTAATACATCACTGGATGACATGATTGATGACGGATTGCATCATTGGAGCCTTTTTTTTTTAAATAAAGGACTTGTCAAAAAATGTGTTTTGTTTTTTGTTCAATTAAAGGATTTTTTTCAGGGAAAAGCTCCATCCCAATGTCGAGGGCATGTGGCCTGGTATGGTGCCCCTTAAAATATCTACCAGACCTAAGTGGTCTAGTATGATTGGGGAGAGGGACCCCGCGCTGTTTTGTTTTCTATTCTATTTTTTGACAACCTGCAGGGGATTTGGTCCACTTGGCGAACCGCTCTCTCCGGCTGCGTGCTCGGCTGCCTTTGGGTGCTGTATGAGCTATTGTGAATAGTACGTACAGCAGCCCTTCAAAGCAAGCTCAAGGATTAGCTGGACATTCAGGTAATTCCTTTGGCTCTTTAGTTAATAACCCATTCAGAGTTAGAATATGTATTTTGTTTTCTATTATGATGAGTGGCGTAACTATAGCCATAGCAGCCCAGGTGGCTGCTATGGGGCTTGGGGGTGAAAGTTTGCCCCATTAGGTTGTTGAGGCAAATTAAACATAGAACATGTGAAGATTATTATAGTACTGTATCATTACAGGGTGGCGTGGTTGACGACAACTTTAATCCCCTATAAAGTCTACAGTGTAGAGTCGACTTCAGATGCACAAGAGGAGTATTTGGGATCTTGGCATCATTACTCAAAGCACAAAGAGAGGTCATCAGGGGACACCCCATCAGATTTTTTGATGGTGTAATACATCACTGGATGACATGATTGATGACGGATTGCATCATTGGAGCCTTTTTTTTTTAAATAAAGGACTTGTCAAAAAATGTGTTTTGTTTTTTGTTCAATTAAAGGATTTTTTTCAGGGAAAAGCTCCATCCCAATGTCGAGGGCATGTGGCCTGGTATGGTGCCCCTTAAAATATCTACCAGACCTAAGTGGTCTAGTATGATTGGGGAGAGGGACCCCGCGCTGTTTTGTTTTCTATTCTATTTTTTGACAACCTGCAGGGGATTTGGTCCACTTGGCGAACCGCTCTCTCCGGCTGCGTGCTCGGCTGCCTTTGGGTGCTGTATGAGCTATTGTGAATAGTACGTACAGCAGCCCTTCAAAGCAAGCTCAAGGATTAGCTGGACATTCAGGTAATTCCTTTGGCTCTTTAGTTAATAACCCATTCAGAGTTAGAATATGTATTTTGTTTTCTATTATGATGAGTGGCGTAACTATAGCCATAGCAGCCCAGGTGGCTGCTATGGGGCTTGGGGGTGAAAGTTTGCCCCATTAGGTTGTTGAGGCAAATTAAACACTGTAGACTAAAAGTCTACAGTGTAGAGTCGACTTCAGATGCACAAGAGGAGTATTTGGGATCTTGGCATCATTACTCAAAGCACAAAGAGAGGTCATCAGGGGACACCCCATCAGATTTTTTTCTATAGGGCCCCATGATGTGTAGTTATGGCCCCGATTATGATGTCAGTAACTGTTGACTGAATTTCTTGGCTGTTACTTACTTTCACAGCCAGCACAATTTTTTTTAATTTTTCACACATATGCTAAAATGAGCATTCTTTACATGCAAATGTATATAGAAAGTCCCCTAACAATTATGTGTTTCCTGAAAGTAGAAGATCTCTAGAATAAAATGATGGTAGTTTCTTTTTTATATGTTGCACAATATTTGCACAACTGTTTATCACATTTATTGTTTTCCTTTGTCGATTGAAGGACACAGAATTTCAGAAATGGTTAAGTTATACTGCCTGCTGGAGATGTGGACACTGGCAAACAAAAAAGTTGTAAGCCAGCTCCCTGTATAACCCCTTCTCTACCCGGAATGGCTCAGCTTTTTGCTTAGAGTTTGGACCCCTTTTCTTCAGCTCTGCTGAAACAAAAGTCTAAGTCATTTTTTGCTAGCCTTTTCTGACTTCGTGGATTTTTTTCCTCAGTGACTTTAAGCATGATTTCTACACCACTGCTTGAGCTGGCCTCTATATGGCAGCTGTCTGGATACGCTTTTCCTCAGCACTAACTTTGGAGTCCATACCAGACCCCACTGGACTGGAGGTGCAGTGCTAGCCTGGAATGTGACCTTTGGGTACAGTGCTCTGCAGTTGGCACATTCCAAACCTTTGTGTACTGTGTTAGTTAGCTACAAAACTCTTCCCAATAAGGACACAGACAGGAATTAAAACTTAATAAAAGTTCTGATTCTTAGCAACTCTATTCAAAAGTAAAGATACATTTCATCTGGGCTTTCACTTGTAATTTTTTCTGTGTTGCTTATCATAAATTGCCTTGTGAAATATATTGGGGGTACCGTATATACTCGAGTATAAGCCGTCCCGAATATAAGCCGAGGTACCTAATTTTACCACAAAAAACTGGGATCTCGGAGCGCCGCCCACTGGAGCAGCAGTGACGCGACGCTCGGCGAGGTAAGTAAGAAGAAACCTGACCACTGGACCACGCTGACCCGTGTATAAGCCGAATTTAGGTGGCCGGAGACTGCCAGATGACCCCGCTCGGAGCGCCGCCCACCGGAGCAGCAGTGACGCGATGCTCGGCGAGGTAAGTAAGAAGAAACCTGACCACTGGACCACGCTGACCCGAGTATAAGCCGAGGGGGGCACTTTTCAGCCCAAAAAATGGGCTGAAAATCTCGGCTTATACTCGAGTATATACGGTATTTATCAAAACTGGAGCATTCAAAATCTGGAGCGGATTTGCACTGCAACCAATCAGCATCTCTGTCTCATTTTCAAATCTTACCTGAGCAAACTGAAGAGAGATGCTGATAGGTTGCCATGGACAACTGCTCCAGGTTTGATAAATCCACCCTCTGTTTTTTATGTATTCCAAGACTGCAATATACACTCATACCCCATCAGCTCCTGTTATTTTTGAATCTATGTTAACAGAGGAATGTGCAAGAAGGCATCGCTTTTCAATCTACTTATAATGATATAAATATGTAAAAGTCAGTCAATGAGATGTATAAAAAGAGGAAAGAGAGAACACATAGATAATGGGATGTACTGTCATACACACAGGCTGGTCTGTGAATTCTCTATTTCTGTCCATCAGACTTGGGCCTGATTCACAGAGGTTCGCTAGATTTCACACTGGCCAAAGATTTAACTTTTGTTGATTGTTTTTCTCATTTGCACCTTCTTGCCATTGCAGGTATCACTATGTATGCTGTAGGCGTTGGAAAAGCAGTTGAAGAGGAACTCAATGAAATAGCATCAGACCCAGTAAACAAACATTCCTTCTACACAGCAGACTTCACCACAATTAATCTCATTGCTGAAGATTTAAAACTAAATATTTGCCCAGGTATGTGTATGTGCCTTTTTGTTTTTTTATCATTCAGATTTCTCCAAAAGAGTGAACAACCTTTGGCCATGGTCAGACATGGCTTGTTTTAGGTCTGTTGCATAGAAGATCTATCAGGATGGCCAGATTTCCCACTTTCCATCCTTCTTCTGGGACATCTTTCTGTCTATAGAGAGCTTAATGCAAATAAATTAAATAATTCACTACAGGTACTAATAATCTAAAGAATTGTGGAAACCCTGTTGTTACTGACCATCCTTTAAAGCCTTGGTTCTCAACTGGTGGGTCGTGACCCAAAAGTGGGTCGCGACCCAGTGTTAAGTGGGTCGCCACATGTCTTCCACTTTTCTAGGTGAGAGGCTCCTCTGCCTCACCCTAGCACAGCACTGTCCGTTCTCACAACGAGCAGCCATTCAAAATATGCTGCCCAGTGCCGAGTGTCGACTTGAGGTGGGGTGGGGTGGGCTGGGGGTATGACAGAGAGGGGGCTCCATCCATGACCCAAAAGTGGCTCACGACCCAGTGTTAAGTGGGTCGCCACATGCCTTCCACTTTTCTAGGTGACAGAGAGGGGGCTCCATTCATACGTGTATTGGTTACTGCTCCCTCTCGTGCCCTGTCGAGGTGCCTGGACCGGAGTGACAAAACATTCTGGCTCCCAACACCTCTACAGGCACGCATGGGAGCTGTACAAGCAATGCAAATATGGATGGAGCTCCATCACAGCACAGCAGCCCATACTGCAATACATTCCACTTGGGTCGCGACTTAACGACCGAGGACAAATGTGGGTCCTAGGGTTACACAAGTTGAGAACCACTGCTTTAAAGCAAACATATTAGATGAATACAGCAGCAAACACCAAACCGTGTCTACAAGTAGATATTTTGGGTATCTTGAGCTTGGTTTCCAGATAGTGTAGACCTTGACTTGACTTTCAACTTTACCCTGCTCCCTCCGCTTCTGACAGTCCAGCACCAGAACCTCAGTTATTTACTCATGTTTGGTCTATTAAATATACTAATAAAAGTGTTTTGTTATTGCTGTTTAATAAGTGCAATAAGAAGATACCTGTTGATTAAATCTTTTAAGCTAATAACTTCCATGTGCAGTCTTGCTGTACTGCATTTTATCAGTCATGTTAAGGGGGAGGTTCTATAGTCCTAAACTGTTTTTGTTGTCCTGATACAGTAGGGTGAGTAAGCGTGGCCACCCTAGAACAGGGAATGTGTTACTGGCAGAACCAACAAATTATAATATAGGAAAATAGGCTACGTTGTTATATATTTTTTCCTGGGTTTAGATACCATTTAGATATAGATTTAGGGCCAACAGAGATTAGAGAATTAAGTGAACTAAGGCATATGTTGTGAACACAACACTCATGAAGTTGGAATCTACGAGCCTATATCTATACTTAAAAAGTACTTGCAGAGACATTTAGGTACTTGCTATTTAACCAAATTTACAGCTTAGGGCAGAGGGATCTTCAAATATAAAAGAAAAAATAAAAGTAGCTATTTCACAGTAATTACGCTTAAATGTAGTAATCCGTAGCCACCGATCAAAATTCATTATGTACTGATCTAACTTTAGAAGAGTGAATTCTGATTGGTTGCACTTAGGAATTAGCACTATTTTTATTGACATAAAGTGGGGAATTTATCAAAACTGGAGCAGACAGAATCTGGAGCAGTTATCCATGGCAACCAATACGTTTCTATCTTTCATTCTCAAAGCATAACTGAACAAAATGAAGATAGAAGCTGATTGGTTACTATGACATCTGTTCCAAATTCTGTCTGCTCCAGTTTTGATAAATGTCCCCATACTATTTATACTTGTTTGTTTGTATATGCATTTAATGTTTGTATAATTATTTTGTGCATTTCTTACTTGTGGTTTTAACATATATTTTGCAGAAGAGATTAAAGGAGAGACAGAGGTAAAGAACCCATGTGAATGCGAGCATCTTGTCACTTTTCAGACAAACACCTTAACAGCACTTGGAAATCTGGCAGAGAAACATATCCTTTTACGTATTAGTACTTTTATTCTCAACCGTGTAGGTTTTGTGCCTCCAGTTCTTAGAGTTGGTAATTGCAGTAAATAGAATATTTGTTGATATCTTTGTTTGTTGAAGGAACAAAAACAGTGCCCTACTTTTAAGTCTTCCATAAATTAGGTACAGGCCCTATACTGTTGATGCTTTAATAGATCTATAGCAGACAGCACCAATAGAACACTGCAAATTCTATCTTGGACCATTCACAAGTATTACGGAAAGGAAAGCACACTTCCTCTTCATATGCTCAGTATGCTTCTTGTGGCTGCATTAACATATGCAATTTAGTTTTTGGCACAGCCTCTTTGAGTGTCAAATAATTTAAAAAGCCAAGACTAAAAAATAAAACTACTGCTCTCAAAAACATAACTTATTAAACCCAACAAGCAGAGTGTTCCAGTGCTCAGAGTGTTCCTAGTCTCTCTGTGGGGACAGCCAGAGTTCCCTGTCACTTTGGAATTATACAGAGGAGCTTGTAGTATGTCCAAAGGCCAGCTCTACAGAGGCACATTAAAGGTAAGAAATATTTTAAACATATATATTTTTAGGTATAATTTGTGAATAGGAACACATAACAAACATATTGTGGGGTTTTAGCATGACTGCAAAAGTGGAAATACACTTTAAACTAGATGTGGAACCCAGTCATTAAATTGATATAATCTTTTACATGTTTATGTCATTTCAAATGTCTCCTTAAATCAATAGTTTTAAGTCAAAAAAATACCTGGTAATCCTGCTATTAGGGTCCTCGTTTATACACATTTTATTATAGGGTGACAGTTCCATGTCCTTGTATCCCAATGGTGCCCCTACATAGTCACTCTGTGCTTCTACATAGTCAAATTGTCACATGTGCTCCTGGTTGCGATCATAAGTGGATGTGCCGACACTCATTGTGCAGGCATGTTCTACCCAAAAATCTACATAAAAAACAAATGATCTGTCATATCCCATAGGAACCATGGTGATACCAAGGCAATTCAATTATATCATACACATGAATGCCTTTCATAACTCAAATTGTGATACAATAAAAATGCTCTCACATGACGATGAGATCTCTTTTACCATCATTATATAATTGCAGGCAGTGGATGCCATGTATAACACCTGATTGTTGAAGAAACCAGGTGATACCAATATCCTTAGTAGATCCTGTTTCATTCTTTCATAAACAGCAAAGATTTCAAATAGCCTTTTTGCTCTCCACTTGCAAAAAAGCCTAAGTGGCTTTTACACTTTTCCAGGGAGGTCTGAAAATGTTTCATATATAACAAGTAAGGGCTTTGTAATAATGTAGGCAGTTCTCCTCATCAACAATTCTCACTGCATTTCAATGGCAAAAGAGTGCAAGACAGAAAGCACCATAAATTATTATTTACATACTACACAGAACTATAGCCCAACACGAGCCTTGACCTCCTTCCTAGGTTTCACAACATTTAAAGGGGATGATTATTTTATCCAACCACTAGCCTGAAGAACAAGGGTACCCCGTTTTTGGGGGTCATGCTTGTTCTTCTTCACATGGGTGGCTTTATTGGCCCTAAGTCCACCCACCACTATGTCAAAGTAAGGGTACATTCAGGGGGTTTACAACAAGCGAAGCCCGACTCACAGTACAAAAAAATCCCAGTATCTTACACACTACACGCTCCTACCTATTCACACTTCCGAAACCTATTGTAGCTTACCTGGCAACATGAACCCTTTCCATAGGCTATAAGGAGAATTTAAAGTGACACTAAACTCAGGAGTTAAATCTTAAAAATGCACTAAAGTACCCTAACTATTAACAAAAACATAGCTTATTTATGTATCTATCGGCTGTAGATCCTGAAATTATGTTGAATTCTTGCTGACACTGTCCTTCCTTCTGCTCCAAGCTTACTCTCATGATTGACTATAAATTCAATACAAATTAGCTAACTAAATGTTAGATTGTAGTCCATCAAAGGAGCAAGTTTGGAGTGGTGGCTACTTTACAGCACACACAAGAACCATGGAGAATAGACATGTGCGATTTGTTTCGTTTTCCGAATCGAAATCCGGACGAAATTTCGGAAATTCGGAGATTCGGATGCAATTACAGCTAAAACGAATGCAAACGAATCCGAATTCCCGAAATTCGTTAGCGGTAGTCCGGTCGAAATTTCGTATATTGGACGAAATTTCGTTAGCAGCAAAGTGACATTATAAAAAAAAAATTTTTTTTTACAGTCTACAGAAGATGAATAAAAAAAAGCGTGAGGTTCCCCCCCAATTCATACCAGACCCTTTAGATCTGGTAGGAATGTTAGGAGGGACCCTTCCCCAAGTTAAAACAAAAAAAAGTGCGTGGGGTTCCCCCCAAAATCCCTACCAGACCTGGTAGGAATTTTAAGGGGGAACCCCAGCCCAAAAAAATGGGGGGAAAAAACGTGTACCAGACCCTTGATCCGTTTACCAGACCCTTGATCCGAGCACTGGCCCGGCAGGGCAGGAAAGGGGGGGACGATCGAGCTGCCCCCCCTCCCTGCGCCTTACCAGGCCACGTGCCCTCGGCATTGGGAGGGTGTCCCCGTGCCGATGGGGACAAGGGCCTCTTCCTCACAACCCTGACCCGGTGTTTGTGGGGGTCTGCGGGCAAGGGGGCTTATTTGCATTGGGGTACCCCTTTAAAAACAGGAAACCCAGATGCCGCCCCCCCCCCTTGTGAATGAGTAAAGGGTACTTGTACCCCTACCCATTCACTAAAGGGTTAAATCAAATAGTTAGTCAGACTTTTAGATAAAATCCTTTAATTGAAAAAAAAACAAAGACTTAATTTTTGACTATTCTTTTAATTTTTTTTTTTCAATGGCTCCATCGATGTAATCCAGCGTCAATCACGATGCACGACCCCCGCCGACCCGCCGAAATAAAAAAAGGCCCGCCGCACGACGACCACCCGAGCCCGACAAAAATTTTGCCGCAAAATGACATTCAGCACGAATGTCAACAGATGGGCGGAGCAAGCCGTGACGTCGCAGCTCGCTACGCCCATTTGACATTCTCAGCCGTCAAATACTACATATCATTCGGAAACTCCCGAATGCTTTCGCGAGTTTCCGAATGCTATTCGGGTCTGTGAGTCGAGGTGTCATAATGCTTTTCATATGATACCTCGGCTCACAGACCCGAATAGCATTCGGAAACTCACGAATAGCACTCAGGAGTTTCCGAATGCTGGGAATGGGCGGAGCGAGCCGTGACGTCACGGCTCACTCCGCCCATTTGACATTCTCATTCTCAGCTGTCAAATACTACATAGCTTTCGGAAACTCCCAAATGCTTTTGCGAGTTTCCGAATGCTATTCGGGTCTGTGAGCCGAGGTGTCATAATGCTTTTCATATGACAACTCGGCATTTTTTTTCTAATGTCACTTTGCTGCTAACGAAATTTCGTCCAATAAATGAAATTTCGACCGGACTACAGCTAACGAAATCAGAAATTCGGATTCGTTTGCATTGGTTTTAGCTGTCCGAATGCCGCCAGGAATTCAATTGCAGATTCGAATCCGAAAAACGAAATATGCAAAATCCAAATCTAAACTAAACTAAACTAAACAAACGTTTTGCTGGTGCACATGTCTAACATTGGAGAACAAAAGTAGCCACCCTCCAGAAGGAAGGTGTCAGCACAAATTCAGAATTGATTTGAGGATCTGAGTTTATGCATCATGATGTTATGAAGCCACTGCTTAGATTCTCCTTACAGCCAATGGAAAGGCTCCGTGTCATCAGGTAAGTTAAGATGGGTTTTAGAAGTTTTTTTCAATTGTGAATGGGTAGGCGCGGTGGAAGAGATCAGGATTCTTCTTTGTAAACACTGGCGTAACAACCGGGGGGGCAGGGGGGGCACTTGCCCCGGGCGCAGGACTGAGGGGGGGCGCTGTCACGACCCCCACTAAACGAAGCCCCTGGCTCCCTCTCTCTGCCACATTCCTGCACGGCCTGCAAGCGGGCCTCTACAGTGCCTGATTGGAGGTGCCGCCTTCCCCGCTATGCTAATAGCGTATCTTGTCAGAAGCAGCACACTGCTCGCGTCGGTTTAAGTAGTAACCAGCACACACTGTATGCAACTTCTAACAGCGTGGGAGACGGGAGCCCGTGCTTGTTGGATCCAGGAATCAGGTGAGTATTAGAAAAAAAAAAAGTTTTATTTTATGTTCTATTCTTAGTTCTATAATGGCATTGTAGTACTTTCAGGTGGAATACAGCTTCATAAGATATCAGCTAGGGAACTACAAGTCCCAGCATGCCCTCATTGCCCCTGTACAACAACCAGATATTGCCGTTCCCTGGGTGATATGTGTGTGTGTGTGGGGGGGTGTACAGGGACAATGATGGCATGCTTGGACTTGTAGTTCCTTAGCTGATATATATGTGTGGGGGTGGGGGGTACAGTTCTAGTGGATGTTTATATAATATGGGGGGGCGAAAAAAAATGTTCTGCCACGGGCGCCCATAACTCTGGTTACGCCACTGTTTGTAAAATGAGATGGTATGGGACTATGGTACCTAGCAGTGACAAGGGCATGCAAAGAAAGATCCTCCCACACTTTAGTCCAGAAGAAAGAAGACTCCGGACACAGCCTGTCACATGATAGCAATTTCAGGTAAGAAATCAGGTCTGATAGCTTAGTTTTTTGAAAATATGGATTAGATGGGTGGGTAGTGTTATGCCAGAGGGTCATCCAAGAGATTAGCTTAAAATGGCACAAGCACATATTTATCAGGCACGTCTAGTCACACCCCTCTCTAGTCATTTACTCTCTATGGCTATTTCTAACATGTATTCCTTAACATTTTTAACTAGCCAAACTCACTGAAAGACTGGAAATCTTGGAACACGAGCTGAAAGATAGAAAATGAAGCACTCCAACTGAAAATATAAAAAGTTAAAAAGAGGTTTATGTGGCTTTTTTATGTCACGTGGTATTATTTTGTAATCCTTTTCAGGAGGCATCCAACTACATGCCGCGCAGAGCTGTAAAACTATTATATAAATAAATGTGAATAGATTGTTATTAAAATAATTTTACTGTTTCTTACTAAGAATTCAGAAATATGTTAATGGACTAGACTTTGGTAGGTTAAAACATACTTTGAATTTATTTTTTTTTATTTTAAAAAAAAATTTAACAAAAAAGGCACAATGATATTATTACGACAATTCATTCTAAATAGAAGGTCTGGATTTAAAATTATTTATGGCAAAAAGATGTTATGAATTTTTGCTTGGCAGCCTTTCTAAGGGCTCAATATACATTTCTTGTCCCATGATTTGTGAAGTATTTGCAGGGCTTCTTAGATTATTTGAAAACCCAGTCAAAACACAAAACTTTGCAATAAAAACATTGTGTGAATACCACCACATCTTGGTCTGCTTTTTGGTTTTGGTTGTACTGTTTTTCTGGGGAGAAAACGTTCCATCTGCACTTTCCTGCCTGCAACAGCTCTAAACTGTCATTAGCTAGTGTAATAAGCAATGAAGACATCGGCGTTTATTTACTACAGGAGTATGGTGAGCTGTACTCATGCCACAAAATTTAAAAAAAACAGTTGGAATGAAAATTTTACTCCTAATCAAACCAATGTGTTTTGTCCAGTAGCAGACACATCTACAAACTGATTTGTGCTATATTATTTTTATCTCTAACCTGCTCTTTATCATTCTAAAACATTTGCTTTGACTAACTCACATTTCAAGGATCTACATATGCTATCAAGAAGTTCTCATATACTGTACATAATATACTGTATATATGAGAAAAGTGGATTGAGGCACCATCACGAGAATCACCCCCTCATATTCATAAAAATTCTAAATGTGTTTAATTCATATACAAAACTATAAATAATAGGGATGCACCGATATATCGGCCGCCGAAACATATCGTCCGTAAATTGCACTTTTGGCATAATGCCGAAAGTGCCATTTTCCTGCCGATACATCGGCGCATCCGCGCTTTCTTTCCACCCCGCTGGGAGCTGCCCTTGTCCCAGCGGGGACGAGAGAAACTGTGACAGCCGGCAGAGCACTGCGGGAGGAGAGCGGCCAGCGTCTCCTCCCACACCGCTCTGCCTCCTATCACAGTCCGGCAGAGCGGTTTGTGGGCGGAGACAGGGCGTGATGTCACAGGAGGCTGGGCTCTCTTCTCTACACCGCTCGATCAGCCTCCTGTGACAGTGCGTCAAGAAGGAGAGAAAGGTGCAAACACGCAGCGATCAGTGATCGCTGAGTGTTTGTAGATAATTGAGGACATGGTATGTGTACTATATTCTCAATTATGAATGAATGGGAGTGATCTACATCTACATATATACATATCTACATATATATATACCGCAATGCTGTACAGAGAACACTGAGCTAGTCACATCAGTCTCTGTACAGAGGAGCTTACACTCTAATGTCCCCCCACAATCACACACTATGATTATACATGTATATAGCTCTGACATATACCGCAGCGCTGTACAGAGAACACTGACCGAATCACATCACTCAAGCTTGGAGCGGTGGAAGCAAAAAAAAAAAAAATTGTGGTGTGCAATATAGTGAAATGTAAAATGTAAAATTATACAGCAATCAATGCAGAATGGCACCGGCTATAGAGTACTACAAATCCCAGCAATAATACATTATACAGCGCAATGCAGAATACCACCAGCTATAGAGGAATACAGCAAATCCCAGCAATACAATATACATACAGTGTAAAATGTATTGCTGGGATTTGTGGTCCTCTATAGCTGATGGTACAGATACAGCTCAAAATACCATCAGCTATAGAGGAATACAACAAATCCCACCAATACATTTATACAGCATGTGTGGGGGGTGCAGGTAATCTTACCTGCACACTCTTCAAGCAACTTTACTTTCTTCCAAGATCTTGGGACTGTCGGCAGCTGCCGTTCCCACACACTGCAGTTTCCCTGCAACGACGTGATCATCTTGGCAGGCAGCGGCGGGAGAGAGCTCAGAGCTGGGAGAGGCGGGGAGGAGGTGCGGCGCGTGGCGTGATGCGTGCGGTGCGTGTGGAGGCGCAAACAGGGGCAACTAATCGAAAGCCACTAATCAATGATGGAAAACGTTGACAACATTTTCCATTATCGATTTTAATCGACTTAGTCGATTAGTTGTTGCAGCCCCGGTTCCATCAGTCTATGTACATAGGAGCTTACCCTCTAATGTCCCCCCCACAGTCACTTCAGTCTCTGTACAGAGGAGCTTACACTCTAATGTCCCCCCCACAGTCACATCAGTCTCTGTACAGAGGAGCTTACCATCTAATGTCCCACCCACAGTCACATCAGTCTCTGTACAGGGGAGCTTACCCTCTAATGTCCCCCCCACAGTCACATCAGTCTCTGTACAGAGGAGCTTACCCTCTAATGTCCCCCCCACAGTCGCATCAGTCTCTGTACAGAGGAGCTTACCCTCTAATGTCCCCCCCACAGTCGCATCAGTCTCTGTACAGGAGAGCTTACACTCTAATGTCCCCCCCACAGTCACATTACCTGCTGGGCTCAGGGCTTTGTGACCCGCTGGACACGGCTTCGTGACCTGCTGGACGCAGAGCTTCGTGACCCGCTGGATGCAGAGCTTCGTGACTCGCTGGATGCAGAGCTTTGTGACCCGCTGAATGCAGAGCTTCGTGACCCGCTGGACACTAGGCATGTGCACCGTCAAAAAAAATGTTTAGTTTCATCTTGTTTTGATTCGGATTTTGCGTTATTTCCTTTTTTGGGATTCGGACTAAATTCATTAGCGGTAGTCTGTACGAATGTTCATTTCCGTTTCATGTTCGTATCGTTCATTTCATTGCAGAAAAGTGACAGTAATTTTTTTTTTAAATTGTCACTTTGCTGCAATGAAAATTCGTCCACAAACGAAAATGCGTACAGACTACCGCTAACTAATTTCGTTTGGAAAACTAATTTTCCGAAATGAATCGCGCGTGTCTGCGGGCATAGGGTTAGTTCACACCATAAGCAGTGCGCTCCGGTCCGATTCTGCATTTGCGGCCGGATCACTTTTTTGCCGGGCTGGAGGGGGCGTGACGGGCCATTGAAGTGAATGGCACCATAGCCACGCCCTCCGTCTGCAATGGGATCGCCAGCACGGGATCGCAAGGCAATCAAAATAGTGCTTGCAGTATTTTGAACACACCGGACCTCAGGCACAATGTGCCCTTCGATCCCGTGCGGGCGATCGCATTGCGGCCAGAGGTCGTGGCTATGGAGTCATTCACTGCAATGGCCCACCACGCCCCCTCCTGCCTGGCAAAAAAGTGAGCTGGCCGCGATGCAGTGCATTACGGCCGGAACGCACTGCAAGTGGTGTGAACAGGCCCTAAAACGGTACCAAGAACACGGCTGCAGGAGCATCCATATTCTTGGTATAACCACTTCCAGCGGAGGACGTACATTTACGTCAACCCGCGCGAAGTGGTTAAAAAATACACACACACATAATGAAACAAACACACATACTCCTTAAAAAAAACACACATAGCTTAATTTAAAAAAAAAGAAGCACACTCTCACACAACTATTAAAAGTAAAGATAGTTAATTAAAAAATGTCCCCCTCTCCTGCTTACCTGTTTTTCAGGAAGGGGGGCTGCATCCCTGGGCAGTGGCAGATCCAGGGGGGGGGCAACAGGGCAATTGCCCCCCCCCCGAGATTAGTGCCGCTCCTGTCCCGACTCTTGCGTCCACGGCCAGCCACCCGCAGTGTGTAGTGACAGCTGTCCCTCCTCCATGTCACAGACTTTACTGCGGTTCATTGTAAAAAAACTTTGTACAATGAACTGCAGTAAAGTCTGTGACACGGAGGAGGGACAGCTGTATGTTCCGGCCAGGGATCGGCAAAGTGTCAGTGAGTGACTGCTTCTTGCGGGGTCCGCCGCGGTCGTACAAAAAAAATGGTACGTCCCGGGCCAACCCCTCTGTCCATTAGCCATTTTGGTACGTTCCTGCCCACGTGACGTGCAGGAAGGTTTTTTTTTTTTCGCGGGACGTCCGCGGAGCGAGCAACAGAAAAGGAGAGGAGAAGCAAGCACAGTGGGGACTGAGCGGCAGAGCCTGAGGCTGTTTCTCGCTGCACTGGTAAGCCAGCAGAGGGCTGGGGGAGGGAACAGCAGCAGCTGAACTGAGTGAGTCTGGGACTGGCTGGGGGGAAAGCTGCAGCTGAGACTTGGTGTCCTGGGGCTGAGTTTTTATGGCCCATGCTGGTATGTTCTGCAGAGGTCACAGAAAGGCCTTGTTCACGCCGAAAGCGTGTGCGTTCCGAGAGCGGTAGCTGCTGGAACGCACCGTGATCGCTGTGAAATTTCCCCCCGCATTTTGGGGCGGGAGGGGGCATGGTGGTGCATTTCATTCAATGGCACCACTTCCCCGGCCCCCCTGCCCGCAATGCGATAGAACGTGTGGCAAAACTTTGCCAGCGTTCCATTCCACTGCAAACGCAAAAAAATAGGGCTTGCCCTATTATATGCGTATGCAGTTAGGCCTTGTTCACACCGAAAGCGTGTGCGTTCCAGAGGGGTAGCTGCTGGAATGCACCGCGATTGCTGAGAAACTTCCCCTTGCATTTTGGGGCGGGAGGGGGCGGTGCGTTGTATTCAATGGCACCACTTCCACGCCCGCCCCCTCTCGCAGTGCAATTGAACACCTCGCAGAACTTTGCCAGCGTTCCGTTCCACTGCAAACACAAAAAATATGCAACACAAATTTTGCGAGGCGTTCAATCACACGGCTTGCGGGGGGGGGCGGAGTAAAAGCGGTGCCATTGAATACA